GAATGAGAGAGAGCACATGAGAGGGGGGAGGGTCAGAGGGATAAGCAGACTCCCCGCCGAGCAGGGAGCCCGATGCGGGACTCGATCCAGGGACTCCCGGATCATGACCTAAGCCGAAGGCAGTCGCTTAACCAACTGAGCCACCCAGGTGCCCTCTTACTGCTATTTTAATTTTAATTCCTCATTACAGAATGAAATTATTCTGGTACAAGCATTGGAATTCTAGAATAGTGAGTACTTTTCATTTGGTAAATCTTAATCCTCACGGCAACCCTATCATATACATACCATCAGTGGTCACATTTTATAGATGAGGAAACTGAAGTGGTAGGGACGTTAGGTAACTCTTCTAAGAAGCCCTCTTTTACCAAGAAAATGTCAGAGCTGGGATTCATTCAGCCAGTCTGATTTCAGGGCCCATATACCACTATACTGTGTCATCACTTACCTAGAAATTAATGGATAAAAAAAAAATATTTCTCTACCTAGATTTAACCACAGTTATCACTTTGGCATATTCTAGGATATCTTTTAGAAGTCCATACACAGCACATACACAATTCAGGTAATAGTTGATGTTTTCCTGCTTCCAGGTGTGTTTGCCTTCAGAATGTGTTCCCTGGGTCTACCTGTTCTAGATTTGTGTTGCTTTGCCCCAAATTCTTTGCCTGCCTCTAAGCTCAGTCTCGTCTAGGAGTCTGGCAAGAACTGTATGGTCAGGTCTGGTTGCTCACTGTGGAGCTCACATTATGGACTTGGATCCTCTATAGTATCATTTGAAGTGTCCTAAAATGTTTTGGAAAAAGTCCTATTAATGAAAACAAAGCTGCCAATTGTAGAAAACTGTGTGTATTTCCACCCACATGGAGTTTCTAAAGAGTACTGGGCTACTTTTAGGCCTCTAATTAAAGGCTTGACATTCTGTCGCTAATTTTCCAGTTGTTGGGAGAGCTTTACTTATGCAAGTAATCCTAGATTTAGTATTTAAAGAACTATTTTTTTTTTTCTTTTAAAGAGTTAACCTTGGGGTGGCTGGGTGGCTCAGTCGTTAAGCGTCTGCCTTCAGCTCGGGTCATGGTCCCGGGGTCCTGGGATCGAACCCCGCATCAGGCTCCCTGCTCAGCGGAAAGCCTGCTTCTCCCACTCCCTGCTCAGCGGGAAGCCTGCTTCTCCCACTCCCTCTGCTTGTGTTCCCTCTCTTGCTGTGTCTCTCTCTGTCAAACAAATAAATAAAATCTTAAAAAAAAATTATAAAAATAAAGAGTTAACCTTGGGGGGGTGCCTGGATGGCTCAGTTGTTGGACGTCTACCTTCCGCTCGGGTCATGACCCCGGGGTCCTGGGATCAGGCCCAACGTCAGGCTCCCTGCTCAGCGGGGAGTCTGTTTCTCCCTCTCCCACTCCCCCTGCTTGTGTTCCCTCTCTCGCTGTGTCTCTCTGTCAGGTAAGTGGATAAAATCTTTAAAAAAAAAAAAAAAGTTAACCTTGGGATGAATCCTCTGTGTTATGGAATATATGTTGGTATTACATAATTGATCTGACTCTTAGACTTCCTACATGGTTAGTGCAGTGGAGAGAGATGCAGTTACTCAAAGAAATGAGGTGATTTTATTCCATTTTAACAGTCCCTTACAGATCTAATAGTTTTCTGATTCACACCCCTGGAATGCTATTGGAAGGGAGGATTTGGGATCTGAATTATTAGCCAGGTTGCAGATACAATTCTGACTTGTTGGTTCTGTTGTGTGTGTGTGTGTGTTTTTTTTTAAGATTTTATTTATTTATTTGTCAGAGAGAGAAAGAAAACAAGCAGGAAGAGCGGCAGGCAGAGAGAGAAGCAGGCTCCTCACCGAGCAAGGAGCCTGATGTGGGACTCAATCCCAGGACCCTGGGATCATGACCTGAGCTGAAGGCAGACGCCTAACCGACTGAGCTACCCAGGCGTCCCTGTTGGTTCTGCTTTTTAATTCACTTTACTTATGGAGAGGTAGCTCAGATCTCATTTTATTATTATTATTATTTAGAGAAGGAGAGAGAGAGAGAGAAAGGGAGGGAGAGAGAGTAGAGAAAGAGAGAATCTTAAGCAGGCTCCACAGCCAGCACAGAGCCTGATGCAGGGCTCGATCTCACAACCCATGAGATCATGACCTGAGCCGAAATCAAGAGTCGGATACTTAACTGACTGAACCACCCAGGTGCCCCTCATTTAATTATTTTTGCCACAGAGATATACTTTATTTTCCTGAGTACTTTTTACTTTGTTGATGGTAATAGCCTTTGAAATGTTTCTTAGAAAAATCTGCTACTCTTGGGAATTGTTAGCATTGTGTATCTCTGGGGTTTTAGTTGGCTGTATTGTTTGGTGAAGGAGACCATGGTGAACCCCAAAGAGGATTCAGTATTAAGGACAACAGTAACAGCAACGATGTTGACACTGTACCACTCTTTTCCTATTGGAGCTTCACAGCAACCTGATAAGTAGATATTACCATTCCTGTTTTACAGAGAAGGAAACTAAGTCTCAAAGAGGTTAAGTAACTTTCCTGAAGTCCCCTAGGGAGAAGGTGGAGTAAAAAGTTCCTGGCATTAGATGATCAAATTGCTAGGGTAACCTGTAAATCCATTTATTAATCCTGTAATTAATATTAAACCTGTAATCCATATTATTAGTTGTTAAATACAATTATGTCCTAGAATTAAAAGAAAGTCTTTAAAGGTGGTTTATCTTCCCATCTTTTCAGAGTAATCAGTCATGTTATGGGGGACGGGGCATGTGGAAAGGGGTATTTGTTTTATGTACACATCTCAGTTGTGTCCTTCCGGTTCTCCTTGCATAAGGCCCTTGGTAACCGAGATTTGATTCTGGGGACTGTGTAATGGCATCACAAAGACTATTCTTGGCACCCTTTGTCTCAGTCTGCTTTAAGGGACAGATTGGGAAACTTGTTTCTTCCTCCTTTTTAAAAAGAGGAATGAGAAACACACTTGACTGGCACTTCCTCCTCAGCAATGGACCTGTCTGACTTCAGTCTGATTTAGCTCCTTTTGTTCCTTATAGAGAACAAAGTAAAATCTCTTCTCAGGTAGCTGTGAGTCTAAGTCCCTTATCCTTTTAAAGAAACAGAGCAAATATTTTTCTTCAGACAGAAGAGAAACTGCAATTGTTTTAGGCCCTTTGACTTCCTGGCATCAGTCCAGCTTTCTCATTTGAACTTTTAGTGTGTTTAGGTCCTTGGGAATTGATAGACAAGCTCTTTGGCAAGCCTGAGCTTGAGGTTTTTAGGGTTTTTTTTTTGATAACATACTTGTAGCAGCTCTTTCCTCTTCCAGTTCCTTTAGGAACTTTTTTGGTTGTATCACAGTTTTCTGAATCATACAATGTTTGTGACCTATATTTCCTTCCTCTTGAGTTACACAGGTCAGGTCATATTTTTTCTTTTTGTATGAATTGGACTGCTGCTGTTTTCACCGCATGTTATAAGATTATAAATGGTTTGAATGTATTTCTGTGAAAGTACTTTTATGTCACACTCTTAAGACAAATGACCCTCAAAACTCATTTCTTCTGAACTTCTTTGTATTAGGTAAAAGAATTATGAGCTCAAAAAACAAATTAGACTCCATAAAGGGTTAAAGTGAACTAATGGGAACTGTGTTTCTTGCACCTTCCTGGTTAGTAATTATTCAGCTGTGTGGCAGTTTCACTTCCAGACTTTTGGTGTTAAACCATGAATTGTCAGGGTCACCAAGTAGATTATTTCCTTCCAGTTATTTTGTCCTTAGTTGCTTCAGAAGGTTGGCTTACATCACGTTGTCATTTTCAGTGTGTACATACTTATTCCGTGCACTAATGAGGGATGAGAGCTCTACCATGAGGATACAGACTAGAGTTTGTTCCTTTGTCACTCCTTAGGGAACTTTGCTGTATGTGTCTAGGAACTTGGAGCTGTGTCTTTCTGTAAAACCTTTCTGACTTTCTACATTTTAATATGGCAGGGAGAAAACTCCTTTCAGCACAGGCTATAAATATGTTTCCTTCTGTCTGTATTTGGATACATCTAGTTGTGTACTTTTCAGATTGCAGCCATTTGTGAAATGTAAAGAGCCCATTGTTGTTTCACTTTTTACAGTAAGCATTTATTACTTTTTAAATTTAAAAAGTGAAAGGAACACTGCCTTTTCTAATTATTAAATCACTTATAGTCCTACCAGCTAAAGACAACCATGGTTAGTATTTATATTTCTTTTGTATCATTATTTTCCAAGAT